TCCTGTCATTCACCACCTCAAAACTGCCAATTTTCCTTGTGACTAGACAGTTCCCAAGGCAGTTGAATCCTGAAGCTATTCAAGATAAGCTTGGAAAATGCTTCCCCCCAGAGCCCTTATCAGGAATACAGTGAAGTGGGGGGAGGTGGTTGTGATTGAGGGCGGGGGAGTAGCAGGGAAGACAGAACTGAATGAACCACCAGTGGGAGAGTCACAAGGCAAAGAGCCCTCTGGGACTAACTAGTGACTTCGACAGCCCCAAAGGGCAAACTCCTTGCATTTTTGCAAAGGGGGAAATAAAAACCTGATCAGCATCAGCTTTGCAAAAACTTTCTGGCAAAAAGCCTGTCACATGGTATAGCACATGGTATAGCACAGGCTTGGGCTGCAGAGGAAAGCTACAATGGTGATGCTGCAGCTGCTGCTATTCAATAGTAACGTCAGTCCTTGCTCAGAACATTAGCCCAAACCGAGGCAGTGTGCCTCCCTCCCATCATGTTACAGTCAAAAACCACACCAGCGGCTGTATCGACACCTTCAAGCCAAAATCCCAAACGAACAAGGTGGCACAAGCGTGTTCCAAAAACTTTAATCTGTATCCTCTTTGCCCCTCAGCTGTATTAGTGGTGCACGATTCTGCTGAGTGCCTCCATGTACTTTATGTAGGGTCATGTTTAATCAAACAAAGGCAAGGCCATTTGTAAAACAGCAGACAAGCTGGTGAACTCCCAAATCTCAGGGCACAGGGAGAGGGGAAGATGGTCCACCTGTAGCTTTTCGGGCTACTGTCAAGGCGGTGGGGAGACAGTGATACCTGCCCAAGCTCTGCTCTTCGAGATACCACTCAGTTGACTATGCAGGTGGGCAGAGTACGATCATGCATGCCCTGCCAGGCGTGGCTCCCACTCATAGGTGTTCAGATACATCCTTCGGCAGGACAGGATTAAGGCACAGGCTCATGCCCGGGCTCTGTTGTGCAATGACATCAGAATCCAAACTCTCCTTAAATACACCTGTTTCTAGCCCTCATGGTTGTGCAGAAAAACGTGAACCGAGTGTAACCAAAGCAGTGATGTCTGCAGGCGGCATCCTGCAAAGGGAGAAGCAGCAATAACTGGAGCCTGGTAAACGGCAGTCTTGGCACCCACCCACAAGAGCATGCTGCAGCTGGTTGAAGGGGGGATGTCCATTGGACTTTGTGGGATTGGCTCTGCTCCTCCCCTCTGGCCTACTGTTTCCAAAGGTCAGAGTGCGAAGAGAGAAAGGTGGTGGTACTGCGCATGCATCACACACTCACTGCACCAACACAAGGGGGCCACTCACAGTCCATTGTGCAGCTCGCTCTGCCTTTCTCCCAGGCTTTGGCATGCAGCACAAGTTGACAATGGCAACACCTACAGCATCATTGTTGGGCCTCAGCATTAACGCTACCAAGACGAGCAAGGCAGCCCTCCCTCCTGGGAGCTATTGCTTCAGTCTGCCTGGAAACGCCGACGCTTACACGCGGGTCACATCGCCAAGGCTTTTTTCTAACCAAAAAAGCTGGAGCTGGACACCCCCCCCCCCCCCGCCCTTTTATTTATTGTTTTTAAATGAAAGTTGAGATTCTGGAGCTTGTGACAATCGCCTCAAAGAACGCAGCAAGTTGTCCAGCAGGCCCCATTGGAACCTTGTCTGCAATAAAGAGACAGTGAAATTGCACCATATAGGATACAGTTTCCTTTAGTTCTGGGAGGAGCTTGCTCTGTGGAAAACTATTCAGGAAAGCCAGCAATTCCTGTAGCAGATCTTATCTTTATTTTGAAATGTGGGTGTCTCCCACTTCTTGAATTTTCTGTGCGTCTTGAGCAAGACGAGTCAATACAATACCCCTAACGTGAACAATGTGTCTCCTGTATTGCTGTCACTTAGAGTTAGAAAGCTATTTAAATATGGTGGTTGAATAAGAAATCTTTGTACCAAAACGTAATTTAATGGGGTAATTTTGTGTAAAGAAAATGTCATAATATGGTTTTATGTAACAGTCCCTGTTGAATTGACTTAATGGCAAATAAAGACTACAGTGTTTTGATAAGAATCCATGTGGTGTTGGATTGTGAAAGACTAATGGGAGGTTTGTTCCCAAAATAATCAAAAATGGACATTTACTTATCTGAGAATTATATGCTGACTTCTGAAAAGGTTAGTCCCATGTAGGTAGCTAGTAAATGCTTCCCTGCTTGTATCTAGAGGCTGCCATGGAGAAGGAAAACTAAGAATGTGCTACCATTGACGTCAATAGGGTAAATAATACCGTACATTGAAACCACCTGAGTCTGTATTACTCTTTCAGCGGCACCCAGCTGAACACATCTTGCAGCAAAGACTTCTGGGAAGCCCAGGTGTCTGCTTATACAGAAAACATGCTTTGGAAATGGCAAAGCTCCAATAAAATGGTGCGGCTTTCTCTACAACTGAGGGTGGGGAGAAGGGTGGCCTAGGGCAGCATGGGAAAAACAGCAGTCATACACCAATAGACATGCACCCCAGGGTGCAGCTGCCAAAAGAGCAAAACGAGGGAGCAGTATCTGAACCCCGCAGCAGAGACCTGTGGCATAGAGAGATGATTCAGCCTCGTCAGGGCTAACTGAGCAGCTGCTTCCTTGGTTCCAGGACAGCCTGTTCTCATTCCAGTGACTGGCTGTGTCTGCCTGACCAATCTTATTTTCCCATTGCTGTGTTAGGTGGAATGATGCGCTGCATGCCATGAAGTGGTGCTGAACAGACAGGGTTGTGAGGCTGGCACGGCATAAATCCTTTCCTGGATTCCTTAGGGCATGGTGCCCTCTTCCCTGATGGACCCAGTATGTCTGTAATAGGGATCCCAGGGGCTACAGGGTACTGTTGTGGTATGGTCCAAGGGACTGAGCAGGGGCCTAGCAGCTAGGCACACTAGAACTCAAATCCCACTGCCCAGAGCAACTTTAACAGCAGCAATGGCCATGTCAGTTCAGTCCTCTATAAACGAGAGCTAATAATGCTGCCCTATTGGCACTGGGGTGCTTGAACTAACCAGCTATACAGGACTTGGAGGGAGTTCAGTGCTGGTGTAACCCAGCCTGCTTCGTGTGGCACTGTCCCCCTTTAGTCACACCTAGTCCAACTAGCGATTAAGGAGTCTACTACAGCCTTGGCTAAGAGACATGTGGCTTTCAGCTCATGCCGTATGAAGCTCCTAAACTAAGCTTCAGAGGTCCCAGGTTCACTCCTGCCTGCTGACAATCTGTTAGCATTATACTGGCTTATTAGGGACAGATGCGCAATACTAGTCAAATACAAGTGGGACAGAAGCAGCAGGCACTTTCCTGCAAATAACTTTGTTCTTGAAATAGCTAAGGTGGCAAAATTCTCCAGTTTAGAGTCTGGGGAGGAAACAGGTCATGCACCCCTCTGCGGAGGCTCAGGGCTTATTATTACTGTATGTATTATAGTAGCAACAAGGGAGACAGTCCCTGACCTGAAGATCTTCAAGTTTAGACAGACAAGACAGAGTGGGAGGGTAAACAGAGGCAGAGAGAGGACATGACTTGCTTAAGAATTGAATAGAATTGAGAGGCTCCCAGTGCCCTATCCACTAGACCATGCTGTTGCTCGAGCCAACAGCCCCGTTGTATTAGGGGAGGTTCTGGGGGTACACAGGAACCAGCCCACTGACTCTCTGAGAATGTGGTCCAGGCATTGGGGATGGATCTGCACGAATGCTCCACCCCTATTCCTTAGCCCCAGAGCATTTGGCTTCATGCTTGTTGCACACTGATGTGCTGCATTGGTCCATCTGGTGCGAAGAGGGCAAGGCCTAATGGCCAACCAGGGAATGTGACTTTAGCCCTGCTCCTTGGGAATATTTCCTTGGGGCAGGAACAGGGCGACATTATTAATGCAGCAAATTAAGGCCCTGGCTCTGTCTGCGCCATGCACGTGACTGCAGGTGCGGGATAGGTCGTTAGAGAGATGTATGAATTATTCTCACTAATCAAAGGCCTGCCACAATGTAGGGCACAGACAGGGCAGCGGCAGACTCTCTGCCTGCTCAAGGTGCCTTGTCATGATTGCACTGCCGCCTCTGGCTCCCGACTTGATGAGCGTTTCCTTGGAGCTGCCTGTTGCCATGTCAACACATCTGTCTAAGCAGTTGCCACTTGCGGAAAGTTTAAGGTAATTTAGCACAGAAACGAGGGAAGAACCGTGAAGGTTTTAACCCTTTCCCACTCCCTGAACAGCTTCCATCTGGAGGAGGAGACAGGAGCTGCACCCCGGGCCAGGCCCAGGTGGGATAGCGGCTAGGGCTGCCCAAGGCTTGGAGCAGTCATGCTAGGGCCCAGAGATCACTTCCATATGCGAGAGGCTCAACGAGAAGCACAGCTGCGAGCGCACAACCCCAAAGGCTGCAGAAGATGCCACGCCAGAGAGCCCTACAAATGACACTGCATGTTCCTGGCCCTCGGGTAATGCTGAGAAGATTAGGGTGTCACTGGCCTTTGAGCATCAAGGGAAACGATCCAGGGCACCTATTTCTTTTGCGGTTTATAAAAGCACGCCTGGAGCAAACCCTTCCGGGAGCACAAACTGAACTCGCAACAGTAAATTGTACCCTGGTGACCGTCAGCCCTGACTCTCCCCCGCACTCCTTTCAGCCTCAATGCACCCACACAATCGCCCCTCTCACGCTAAAGCCAGGCTCCACTCTGTGCTTTGCCACCCAGACCCCGGAGACACCCCACTCCCACAGCCAGAGGATGGTGATCTGGAGTCTCGGGGCACAGAGCAGACAGACCCTTCGTTTGTTTATACGGTCTCCTCTGACAGACTCAAGGCCAATAACCGCAAGGGACTTAATCTATCCTCCTGCAAAGATTTGACCCGGCTTGGAGTTCAAACCTCTGGTCCCAGGGACTTCGGGTGGGAATCAGACAAACCGTCCTTCTAACCTGGGGGAGGGCTAAAAGGAAGAGGGGACCCACCTCTCCGTAGAGCTGCACAAGGGGAGGGGACCGTTCAGAGGGAAGTCTTAAGGCCAGCAGGTAGAGAACAGCCTCCTGCATTGCCCCCTGTGCTCAGGCAGCACCCACCAGGCTCTTGCGGCTTTTTTGTGCCCTTCCATCAAAGAGTGGGGCAGAACCTCACCCAGCCCCAGCAGGATCTGATAAACCGGGCTGTTTATATTGCTCTTGCTTTCCCCAGCTCTGGCCCCAGTACTGAGGGGGGGGGGGGGGGCCCACACAGCTGCTGGCTCCTTGCAAGTACAAGGCTGACATCAGCCGTTGTCAAGGGAACCGTGTTTTGATAAAATCATGCGACAGTTACTTTGCAATTCAACAAACAGGCTCTCTGTAACCCCACCCGACTGCCCCATCCAGGACTCCCCGTGGCAGACACTCTAAAAGAGCATGGGGGGTGGGGGGCAGCAGGCTCAGCAGGGGGTCTCTGAGAACAGTGAGCAGTGATCAGTCCATGTGTGGCTGCAGAGACACAGTCAATGCCTTGCAAGCCTCTGGGGAAAGGGTATCACCTGCTTAGAAACATTCCTTTAGAGGGAAGCGGTGGCTAGTAGTGAGAGTAGGGGACTGGGAGCCAGGACTCCCGGGTTCTATTAGCTCACAAAAAAGAGTTAGCAGGGGTAGGCTGGACGCTCTGGGAGCGGCGTGGGAGTCAGGACTCCCGGGTTCTATTCCAAGCTCCGCCCAACGACTCACTGTATGATCGTGGCTCAGACACTTCCCCTCTCTGCGCTGTAAAATAGGGATAATTATGCTAACCTTCCTGTGGAGGGAGGGACGAGGTCTGTTTAATTCATACCTGTGCAGCAAGAGGGTGGCTAGAGAGCTACCCAGCTTCAGCACACTCTCCTATCAGGTGGGCCGTGCTAATGTGACAGGAGATGGTCCTGGAGTCACTTAAAAGGTGCCCCACCTAAGGAGAACCCTGGCTCTGATTATACCTTGAAGGAGCTGAAGGTAGAGCGCTCCTAAGGAGACTCAAAGGGACAGGAGGTTTTTGCCCTTTTCTGCTTAGAACTCTGTCTGAGAGGGGAAAACGCCAAGCACTAATCAAGGACTCAACTACAGTTTTCCTAACAAACCTCTAATTAGCAAGGGCAAGTAAACAAAGCAAGCCAAGGGATCCAGTGGGCAGAACATTTTTTCCCTAATGCCTCAGGTTGCTAAATAGTCAACATTATGACAAACTCTTAAATAAACAAAGACCCTGAGCTCGCTTCACAATCACGTCACTTTGACTATTTACATTTCTGGTCTAACCCGAGCACTTTTCATCCTCTGCCTCCAAGAACGTCCCAGCAGCCAAAGCTCTTCACCTTGTTTTAGTAACATGTATTTAATAGAATCACATTTTTGATCAGCAGCCAGCAGTCTGATTCAGCACCATCACTTTGCAAATTTTATACATGGGTCAGTTTCCCAGGGGAATGTCTGCTAACTGTGGAGGAATGACGACAGGCTGGCTTGCAAGATGCTCCCTGCACCAAAAGGATGACGGAATCTAAGCAGCCGTTTGTATAGCGGTGACAGGAATTTTGGCAAACGTTAGCTTTCTAAGAACACCAGCAGAAGAACACACAACAGGCTTCTAAACCAGAAGACATCAGTTTGCCTCTTATGTGAGCATTTCTCAAGTTCTGAGCACCGCTTTGGAGCCTGGGTGACTCCCTTCCTGTTTGTTTTATTGTCATGATTTTGAGCAAAACACCCCCCCTCTAAAAACAATAGAAACGTAGGTTGAAAAGGCAGGCTTTCGGCTTACGGCAGGTAAAACGTCAGCATCAAAGCATGAGTTTGAGACTTTCTTTTAATAATGCAAAAATACCCTACACATTTACTCTTTTTGCACTGCTCGAAATAAGTAGGCAAGGGCACAGGTGTGACTGACAGACCTTCCCCAAAGTCCCTGGGAGCTCGTCCCCAGGAATAGCAGCCTTTAAAGGGGCTGATTTTTATACAATTTCTTGGAAACCATGAAACTGATTTTTGCTCCTACAGAATTAACTGTAAATTGTCTAAAAATAAGCATGGAAAAAATCAGAGGGGGGGGGGAAATGAACATCAATGCCTGGAAACCTTTTTATAGAACTCTTTGTACTGCATGGCCTCCATTGTTTCTAGCAAGATCTTTGGAGGGGGAAAAAAAAACTAATTTACAAGCCAGAGCCCTCCTGTGGTCTCTGAAGGCTGTCTGAATGGCTCACACCTATTAGATCATAAAGGCGTAAAGAGAACAATGTACTCACTTCACCTTACCCAGTTATTCTACTATATTTAGTGGCTTTCCTTCCAATCCATCCCTGGCTGGCAGGATCTTCACCCCTGAAATCAAATCATCTGCAAAACACCATGACTTCCACCATATTCTGGTGGCTTCAGGGTGATGGTACTAGAACACTGGATTACTGGTTTTGGGGAATGAGGCAACAGGGAGCCAAGTGTTACAACAGACTGGAAGCTCCTGAAGGAGGGACTGTTTCTCTATGTTCTGTCAGGTGCCTGGCACACGAGTGTAGTCAATACAAAACAGCACTGCAGCAGCACTGCTCAGCGTTATTGCTGAGCCCCATGTTGGCATGATAAGCACGGCCGTGTGCTGGGTTTGCTGTGACGTGCCCCCTACACACGCCACGGGCCACTGCCTAGCTCAAGAGAATGGCCTGTGTGGAGGAGGCAGACTGCCTTCTCGCATGGGACAGGGGCAGGACATCTCCCGGAGCAGCACTGAATCACCCTTTCCCAGAATGATCCAACTTCACGCAGCACGCATGAGTTACAGATCCGGAAAAACCCAACTCCCCCCTGCCAAAAGGTCCAGCCCTTACCTCCTGGCCAATGCATCTGCCCAGCGAGACACCGAGGGCCCCCACGGGGCCCCCACACGGCCCATCAGCAGGTTATAAAATTCTTTGGTCCACAAAGCACCTTCTCAGTGTCTCCTGCAGTCCCCAGGCAGGCAAGCCCAAGGGAGGTCGACTAGCTACGTCTGCTCTCTGTCCCATGGGCAGCACTACTTTGCACCTCCTGCGTGCACGCACATCTACGATGCGTTTCACCTGCTAAACTCCCCATCCTGAAGATGTCTCCCCAGGCCAAGCGCCCACCTCCACTTGCACAAGTGCTCAGACAACGTGGAGGCACTTGGCTATATGGCCATATGATACTGTGGTGCCTGGGGGGCAGCTCCAGTGCCTCTCCCTGCACCCCCCACCTGTCCGATGAGATTAGCCTCAGCTCCAGTCCCTGGCCCCCCTTGCAGCTCCCTGGCCCACGGCATTGGAACTCCACCCCAGAGCTTCTCCCTGCTTCCTTCCCCCAGCAGGACCCTGTCTAGAACTCAGCTCCCTCTGGAAACTAGCAGATAATTCTGGGATGGGGAGTACAATGCAGTCCAGCCCAGAGCAATCAATGCTCAGTCCACACCAGGGATCCCAGGGATGATTAGTCAGGCACAGAAGTAATTTAACCTTCCAACAGGTGCTTATATAATGGGGTTGTTAGAGCTGTTTAAGTATCCACATAGGAAAATGGATAGCCACTGTGTTATACTGCTGATAGGACCAATTGTGTTTGCTTTAATACAGTCCTCTGGAATACTTTGGAGGCCAAGTGCAATAGGCTTCTGCAGGCTAATGCAATATAGTCTAAATCAGGGGTTCTCAAACTTCATTGCACCATGACCCCCTTCTGACAACAAAAATTACTACATGACCCCAGAAGGGGAACCGAAGCCTAAAGCATCCCCAGTCCCCCGAGTCCTGCTACCCCAGGTGTGGGGGCCAAAGCCCGAGTCCCCTGGCAGGGGGGTCCAAAGCCTGTAACCTGTGCCCCGCCACCCAGGCTGAAGCCCTTGGGCTTCCGCTTCGGCACCAGGCAGTGGGGCTTGGGCTTCAGCTCTGGGCCCCAGCAAGTCTGTGCAGGAAAAGCGATCACAACTTACACAAGAAGTTGCTCAGCTTCATTATGTCACACTCACCTTTTCTGTGCAGAGTGGCCCGTTCCCAGGGCACTCCTCCAAAGGTTCGGCTTTCACAATTATGCAGTGAATGGTCGGCACTGCCTTGCCAAACTCTGCACTTGGCATCGCTCCTGCCAGCCTCACACATTGTTTGAATGGGAGACTCAAAGGCTCCCAATAACTAGCCAAAGCCACAAGATCTGGGTTTTGCTGGGTTCAGCTTGACTTTGACAATCCTCTATTATGCCTGATTTCAGCCAAGTTCTTAGTGTTTACCTCACCTTAACATCAAAACAATGGCATTTCCCAGGATGCCAGTATATGTACAGAGCACCCAAGGGATTAACCCATCCAGAGAACCAACACAAGCTTGTCTCTAAACACAAAGAAAAATGGTGAAAACATTTCTCAAGACTAGAGGCAGCCAACGCCAGTAGCATCTGACCTGAAGCTGCCAATGTTCAGTTCAAATACCCAGTGGGTTTGGAGCCAGGAGTGGCTGCTGAATTTATTTTGCTTTCAATGGTGCCTCACTCACTTTTTTCCGTCTCAGCCACAAGGCAGGTGCGGCTAAAGTGCTTAGTGGGCGGGATTTGCTTTGGCAGATGGATTTCAGAGACATCACCACAGACTCTGCAGCAAAGGGGGAAAAAGCCCCCAGCAAAATAAAAATCATATAGTACAAAAATACATAAAGTAAAATCACGGTTTTTGGTAACAAAAACCATCTCCATGGGGTTTAAAAACTGAACTGAGAATGAACTGATGCTCTCTAACTGAAGAGTGAACATAAGGATTACGTCACAACTTATCAGCCTACCTCCAAGGCAGCAGTTTTTTCCTAACCTCCTTCAAAGAGATGGGACAAGTTACACTGTGGATGATGCTTAGCAGATATCCACACATTCCCCACTGCCCCAGCCTAGCTTAATCCAGCACAGCGACACATTTCTCAGGGCTTTCTTATAGAACAGGACACAAATGCCCTCACCCTGTCCAAAGGGAGATGCTGATTTAAGGTGAGGGGAAGAAGCAATCTGTGTTCTAGCATCACCAGCCTTTATAGTGATGCTGCAATTCCATCGGGCAAAGTCTGGTGATTGGTGGGACTAGCTGAATCTAGCATTTGTTTGTCAGGCCCTTATGGAAGGGAAATATGTAGC